GCCTCGATTTACGGCCTGCCTGTAAGCGTATTACAGACATTGCATCAGCGATACAGTTGCATGGCGTTTCCTGCTGGCGGATATTGAAAAAAATTCGGGGACTGAGATGTTCTGCAAGTCGCCTAAAAGTAGAACGTGGGCCCGACCCCTGCGCCCTGATATTTCGCAACCGAAGGGGTCGGGAGGTTGATCAATGAGGACAGATTTTCTCCCGTCGTGCTCACAGGCTAATCATGACACCCGTATGTATGCTTATCTCGCGATCAATGCTGCAGAGTTGATGCGGATACGCATTACGGGCCTGTGTCTTTCCGTGGCTGTCCTTTTGTGATGACTGTAGCGTGTGTAGCGTCTTCAGGAAAACCCGATGATAACCTCACGACACGTGGATTATTGTCGTGGCGGCGCGCCTGCCAGGGTATGAACTTATTGCGTGTACGACCGCAGATGATGTCATTGAGTGGCTGACCTCGAGAACGCGCCGCGAGCTCCCCGGCGCACTAGCAGGCCGCCCTGTGCGAGGCTGTGACGGCCGGCGCCCCCCCCCCCCTCTCCAGATCGTGAACGAGGGCTCCAAGTTCCGGTACCGCTCCGGTGGCCAATGCAACTGCGGGCAAGCTCACGCTGCGCGCGCCCTGCATGGCCGTGGGACACGGCGCCGCTGTACCACTCGCAGTCGCCGGAGGCGTTCTTCGCGCACGTGCCCGGCATCAAGGTGCGATGCGGCGTCACGGGCGGGCGCTGAGGGCTGTTGGTATCAGCAGCGGCGGTGGCGAGTGGCTGCCGTCGTCGATGCCGTGTTTTGGGTTGGAAAAAAACTGGAAGTTCAGGGTTTATGCGCGACTTCTGTCGGTTCTGGCAGTGATGATGTGCCAGCCCGGATTTGGGAAGTCGTTGCTTCTTACTCAGATCGTTGGTATGGAGTCGGAAAATAGTTTGAGAACGCCTCAGATGGAACCCATATCAGCATGCTCTCTGTACATGAACAGGCGCCATGCACTTTCTTCAAGACATCACCATCATCCTCATCATCGCCATCATCACCATCATGACCACCATCGTAACGGTGCGGTCTCGGCCAGGTGGTGATCCCGCCGCGGCCCGATCAAGGCCAAGGGCCTGCTGCTGTCGTGCATCCGCGACCCAAACCCGTGCGTCTTCTTCGAGCCCAAGGTGCTCTACCGCTCCGCCGTGGGGAGGTGCCCGTCGCCGAGTACACGGAGCCGATCGGCAGGCCGACGTCCTCGTCGAGGGTGAGCTGGCCGGCAGAGCGCGTGGAGTTCACGCCTGGTGTGCTGCCGGAGGGGGGGGGATGCTGGTCTCCATGCGGGGTGTGAAGGAATTTCGGTGTGTTTGGGGATCGTGAGCTTATGTTTTTTTTTCTGCCAGCTGGTTCCGGCAAGCTGTTAAGGATGTATGGGCGTGTTGATGTGGCAGCAAGCCTTTCTTCGTCGGTGGTATAGGCTGTGCTCGATTGTCCCGTTGCGATGCGTTGTTTCACCATGCTGCTGGTGGGCAGACGTCATGCCTTTGAGTGCTGCAGGACTTCTTTAATGCAATAGCAGGAGCGCATGCATGGTTTTTACTGCTAGTGTTGATAAAATTTTGGTGGAAATGGCAATCGCTTTTCAACAGATGCGTCATTACAACCTATTTTGTGAGAGAAATTGATTACTGTAAATAAAAAATAAAAATTAAAGTTAGCTTGATTGAGCTTCATTTTGTTACGCGCTACACGTTGTGCTCTACGTCACCAGTTTCTGCTGTAAAACAATCGCACGCGTGCACGACGACACGTTTGCGAAGAGTTAATCGGGGGCATCACTTGCCGCAGGTGATGACGTCACTCTGGTTGGCTGGGGGACCCAGGTGCACGTGCCTGCGCGAGGTGGCTGACCTGGCGGCCGAGAGGCTGAGCGTCTCGTGCGAGGTCATCGACCTCGTCTCCATCCTGCCCTGGGACCGGGAGACAGTGATGAAGGTTGGAAGCGTGCGCGGGCCGCCGCTGGGGGCGGTTTATCGAGGCGAAGTAAGAGTTTGCTCGTTTATGTGGATCGTATGGGTGCATGGGCTATTAGAAGTCTTTTGGGAATTACTTGTGAGTCAAATTTGCAAAGATGATGTGCATGCTTCTAGTTCATGGCGTAATCCAGGGTTGTAGTTTCGCAAAATAAGTTGGGATCTAAGCCATGAGAAATGACGAAATCTCCCGCAAAAATGCGCCAGCAATCGGCCTTTCTCTCTGGATTTGGTCCGCTTTCCTCTCAAAGATGGGGCTGCCCCTAAACTGAATTGGAAACTTCACCTCCAGTATTATCCGTTGTGATCTCAGAATTGTGTGAGTCGTAGTTTCACTTGTTAAGCCCGGCCTAGAGTACACAGGGCTTTATTGAAATTTTACGGTCGAGGTAAGATCCTTGTTTCACGTTAACCGGCTGTATGGTCGCTGGCGAGTGTGCGGGTCACGAATGAGCTTGAGCTCTCAAGTCCTGTGATCAAAAAAACAACGTGTGGATTCCGAGGACTTAGTTGTGGAGGCCTGCGACAGGGTGGCTCGTCGGCGCGGTTCGTATAGGTGCGCTGGCAGCGCGGGAGTGGGGCCTGACCGTCGGATAACCACACCGGCTCCACAGCATCAGGGCCCATCCTGCTGGCGATCCGTCGTGTACTCTGCCTTATTCCTTGGCACTGGCATGTAGAGCCTCAACAAATGTGGACATATTATTTTACGAAGAGCCGCACTGGTAATCTTTTATATTCAAGCTTCGAAGAGCACGTTGCGTCGCGTCCGCGCCACTTCTGTGTAATGCAGCCGAGCAGTCAGTGGGGTCTGCAATTAAGTCCGCCTGAACGGGATGGAAGTTTCGAAGGCGGAGTAATCGAAGCTCGTATAGCCGGGCGCGGACCGAGAGCGGGAAGCCCAAGTCGCTTTTGCGACCCTGCTGGGTTACGATTGAGACCTGTGCTGGACCGCGGCATGCCGAAACCGGTGTGACGAGCGCAGATGCCTCATACTACAAAGAGTGCAAAGTGGTACTAGATTTCTATGATGACGAGTATCTTGAGTAAAAAAGTGTATGAAGCACGTGCAATTGGCAATGTCGCGCTCTGCAAACGGTGGAAAATTAGGCGTGCATATGTACTACTTAACAATGCAACCGGCATGCAGGCATTCCATATCGATCCTATCTGTGAAGTCAAAAATGGGAAAAATCCGAAAATTGTCAGCGCCAACTTGTCTATGCGTAAAAAGCCAAGTGTTCATCAGGTTTACCTGGGGTCCAAAAGTTGTCATCATGTACGTGTATTCGCACCAGTCAACGCGAGCAATACGCCGAAGCACTCGGCTTGTGCTGCGGCGGCCGCGCGAGCCCGTGCTGACCGGCCTGTCGTGTCGCTGTCCGGCAGTCTGTGATGAAGACGGGCCGGTGTCTGGTGTCGCACGAGGCGGCCGCTGACGGGCGGCTTCGGAGCCGAGCTGGGCTGCCACTATACAGGTGCAATGCCCCCCCCGACTGTCGCGCCGGTCCCTCCCAGCTGTATGCTGGATGGTCAGCAGCACACAGATGATTGTCATGTCCGTAGATGCTCTATTTTGTCGTGCTGTGTTGTGTCAATATGGAGGTCCTGATGCAGTTCGTGTCAAAGGAGAGCTCGCGACTGGCAGCAACTATGGGCCAGTTGCAGTAACCACATGGTAGTGATGGACGTGCATATTATTTTGGTCGGCGTACTTAGTTTCCGTTAAGCATCGTAATAGCCTGGTTATCCTGGTACACCATTATTCTCTCGGTGTTTGTTGGTTCTACCCACACATCCAGTCTTTGAATGCCGAGAGACTGGCGTTTGTTTCAATCGTTGCAATCCCGCCCCCCAACACTCCAACCTTAACCACGATCCGGAAGTCTCCCTTTCGGCCCCTGCAACGCCCTCGCGCGGCCGTGATCTCGTGTGCCCTCGTGTGACGCCGTCGTGTGCCGGCCGCCGCAGTCGGAGTGCTTCCTGAACATGGAGGCGCCCGTGCAGCGGGTCACCGGTCACGACACGCCCTTCCCGCTCGCCTACGAGCCGTTCTACATGCCGACCAAGTGGCGCTGTTTGGAGGCCGTCAAGAAGCTTGGTCAACTACTGACCGCCCGCCCGGCGGCGGCCGACACGGGGGCTGGGAGTGCTGGAGCGGGGCAAGCTGCGGCCGCGTGGCGCTACTGAGCGGAAAACGGGACGACGTGAAGGCCGGCTTCTTCGAGGTCGTGACAGGACGTCGGCGCAGGATGATTGTGTTCTGTTGTGCAGGTCGTAGAGGGCCGGGATGAAGTGTTTTGCGCAGAGGGCCGTTCGAGGGCGGTTCGTAGAGGGCCGCACGTCGGGTGCGGGACGGGCGGTCGTATGGGAGTTGCCGCCGGTTCGGGTGCGGCGCGCAGCGCCCGGTGTTCGGTCCGGTGCGACGGTAGCGTTCCTGTCACTTGACCAGCTAGGTGTTGTCTACCTTCGTGGGTGACCGTCGCAGCCCAAGTCTGTGCGTGGTAGTAATGAGTGACGTGTGGTTTGGATGATTATTATATTTTCGCCGAGCTTTATAGCGCGCCGCTTGGTTGCAACGGGGACTTCGCGAGATCTGGTGGAAGGGTACTGTTTTCGGGGCTTAGGGGGGCGTCGCCAGCAACGGTCGTTGATGGTAGCAGCGAAGTGCAATATTAGTGTATGGTAGACATGTAAAGCGCGCAACAGGTCGTGTTGTGCGCTGCTTGCCAGGGTTTTGTACTGCCTGAGTCGGTATCGCGACTGACGCCGTGTTGATGGAGGCTGCTGCGAAGCTGCGGTCCGTCGGTGGTTACCGCGGGTAATGTGCTCTGCATGTCCACGCCGTCATGACAAACCATCGCGTCGTTCGAAACTCGGAAGTTCGATCCGACCGCAACCAAATGAATCTAAGAATACAAGTGTGCAAGCCAGCGATGTATGTATATCTTCACAAATCCGCCAGAACAGCCGCTGGCGCTTCAGACCGCGCTTAGAGCTGCAGGTCCAGCTCGTCCGCCAGCGAGTCCATCTTCCGCTCCGTCCTCGCGTTGGTCTTCTTCCGCTTCTTCATCATAGCCTTGTAGGCCTTTCTTGGTCATGACTCGCTGTTCCTCCTGCTGCAACTCACTGACCTTCTCCCCCTTTGTCTTCTTCTTGGCGGTAAACTCGACCTGGAGCCGTCCCCCGGCGTCGGCCGGCCGCCGATCTCCGGTCTCCATCTCCTCGGTCTCTTGCGTCTCGGCGGCGGACGCGGCCAGCGGCACCGCCTGCGAGGCGCGCGGCGCCTCCATCGCCTCCATCTCGGCGTCCGCCTCGGCCGCCAGCGCGTCCAGGTCGAACTCGGCCGCCATCTGGGTCACGATGGTCGCGTCGCCGACCGCCGCCGCCGCCGCCGGCGGGTGCGTGTAGTACTTGATACGACCGGTGTTCCAATCCTGCAGCCACGAGGCGCGCGGCGGCGGCGGCGTCCGGCACGCCGCCTCGCTTCAGCCGTCCCTGGCGCCGCGCCAGCAGCAGCAGGAACTCGGCCGTCGTGCTGAACATGGGCAGTCCGGTAGTGCAGCATCAAGCTGACGGCCGGTCGGCGCGCCGCAGAATGGCCCTACCACGGCAGTGCCGGGTCGTCCAGCTGCTCGATCTTGAAGGCGTTGCGCAGCGCGTGGCCGCGTCGCCCGCGTCAACCCGTCTGCAGCACCATGCACGGAGAGTCCAGCAGCTTGATCTTGGCGTCCAGCTGGATCTCACTGCACGGCGCGCGTCACCCCGGCGTGGCGCCGACGCCGCAACGCGCGGCTCCTCTTCAGGCTGTTGGATGACGCTGGCTCTTGCCGACGTTGGGCAGGCCGACCACGCCGACGGCGATGCTGGTGCTGATGCCGCGGTTGCGGCAGTAGTTGCCGAGCAGCTTCATGAGCGTGGCGGCGCCGAGGCAGCGCTGCGACTGCAGCAGCGGCTCCGGGCAGCTAGCACGTCCAGCGCGCTCTGGCCCAGGTTGCGACTTTGCTGCTGCGTGCTGGCCTTGAAACGCCACCGTCGGGAACTCGCCGCGCAGGTACCTGGCGGCGGGGAGGCTGGGCTGTGACTCTCGACTCTCGGAGGGCGAGCGGCTGCCCAGAGCATTGGTCGGCGGGGGGGGGGGGGGGAGGGGGACGAAGGCCGCGATGCTCGGAGCTACAGTGTATGACGTCTGACACATCGCTGGAAACACATTTTACAGGTGCTAACCAGCGCGCGCTGGAAGCACCTCGCTGGAAAGGCCGCTGAATGTCATTTCAAGCCCCTGATCCGCAGCCGCATGTGTCGTATTCTAATTATGTGGAGATCTGATCCTAAAATCCAGAATTAGAACTATAGTGTACGACGCATACCACATAATCAAACTTCGGGCCCATGTCAGTACAAGCTAGAATGTTGACTGTCATGATCACCCAGCAGCAATCCATCTCCCATGGCGATGTCATGCACTTCTGCGTTGTTGCAAATAGTACCTGTTTAGAACCAGCTACGCAGCATGACCAGCCACCCGGCGACTACGAAGCTCAACAGCACTTCCTGTTCGGTCACGAGCTGTGCCCAACGGATGATTTTTGGTTGGCAATGTCACCCGTTTTCACAATACGCTTCCGCTGTTCTGAAATTAGCCCGCTCTTTTCCCGTGTGCTTTCATGTACAGGTCTTCCGCTTGACATTGGATGCTCGTCTCATGTACGCCCAGCACAGCCACTCCGCCCGACCGATGCGTGGCGTTAGCACTGTTGCTGCTACTGTCGCGAGCTAGCCTGTCGTCCACGCCAGGGTTAAGACGCCACGGATGCTCAGGCCAGCACTGTCTGGCAAACACAACATATTGGGGATGCGTGTGCGAGTGGGCGAGGGAGCCCGCATTCACGTTCCATCAGGCGAGGTGCCTGACAGAACGTCTGTCCTCTGCTGAAATATCTTTAAAATCACCATAAAACGCGGATGAGATCACCATGCTGCTTTTCCAGCCGTCTTTGTGTTGGTGATGGTGCCAACCACAGCATCCACTAGGCAGCATATACTGCACCCACTCCACCCAGACAGCCACCACTCCTCCCTGCCACGCTCCGGCGGCGACGCCGAGCGCGCGCCCTGCCCCACTCACTTGACCCAGGCGGCCAGGTTCTCGCGGGGCACCAGGTCCGCCTTGTTGAGCAGCAGCACCAGCCGCTTGGAGCTGCCAGCTGCCAGCACCGTCTGCTCCACCTCCTTGCTGCGCGTGCCAAGCGGGTCACGCGCGTCCAGCACCTCGATCACCACGTCCGCGGATTCCACCACCTGTGGGGGTGGCAGGTGAGGTGACAGGTGACAGACAGGTGATAGGGCAGGTGACAATTAAACAATTCCAGCAATGTTGGCCTAGCAGGATGAAGAGGGCTGATTGCCTAAAGGTTGGGAACTAACAACCTACAGGCAAATGTTTCTGCTGTGTCTACCTTCATGTGCTTCCTCTCATAACAGTTCCTCATGATTAAGTGGCTATACACAGAAAATAAAGGTTCAATCATTTGCAAGGACTTGAGTAGAGCATAAAAGAATAGACATAGGTAAACAAGATTCATCTTGGAAAACTACTTCAGCATTAATATTGATAATGCACCTAATTAGAGGGAGTGTCCCAGGATTCAGTTAAAAGTTTTTAAAGTAGCATTTTACACTCATGAAACAACATGTGGCAAAACAGCTGCTGCTGCCAATAGCTAAATTGGCACCTATGACAAAAATACAGCTATAGTGACAGAGTCAAAACATACTTGTTGCAAGTCATCTATAAACAACTTGAGCACAGTAGTCTATGTCCATGCGGTTCTGCTGCAGGTAAATGCAGCTATCCATGACATTTCAGAAATACACTGCACTTCAGATGTATATGCACATTTCAAGCAGACTTCACAAATTATGACCTTAGATGCAAATGCCAAAGGCACAAGGAAGGCAGTTTAACAGAGGACAGGGAGGTAGGTGAACTAGGTAGATACATTATTGTTTTCTAACATTCAATTAATAGTTAGATTGTATTTCTATATGTGTTTTTGGAAGAGACACCAGGTAATGCATTGTTTGATTTCAGTAAAAAATATTATCAATGGATGATGGCAAATGCCTTTGCACAGTACATTTCAGCCTCAGACCCACAGCAGATGATAAAGATGCATGATTTTATCACCTGGTATAACTGATTAACTTGTTTTCCCATGTCTCTGTGTAGCCCTGTGCAGCTGTCAGCCATACTAAGCAAATAGATTAAACCCAGTACTTAATGCAGCTTACAAACATGGAGAAACCCCACAGCAGAAACCCATGAGAAGACAGGTATAAAACAAGCCATATTGAGGGTTTATACAATGCACTTTCAACATAATGTACTACAAGGTTATCTTTGTAGTTATCTTCTAAGGTTATCCATCAACTTTGAAAACCATGCCATAATCACACACACCCAAAGTACAACTGCAAGTGTAGGTGTACTTCCCTACCTCACATTAGAAAAAAATATTGTACACCATTTGTCGTGTTTAAGGCGGAACATATAGTAAATAATCTCAAAACAGGTAGAATCATGCTCCTACCTTCAAGTTTTCATAACTTCGATGGCAAGCTCCTGAGTGCCGCACACACCGCAGGCATTGACATTGTGTAATTACAATATTTCTGCTTACCAAGAACTTAAAAATGTATGGGACCAAGGTAACAATAATAATGCAATGAAAATTGTTTCTTATCATGTTAAGGTATGTTTATGAAACACATAGGCCAGAATAGTCCAGAACATAGCCTAAACTAGCCTAGCCTAGCCTAGCCTAGCCTAGCCTAGCCTAGCCTAGCCTAGCCTAGCCTAGCCTAACCTAACCTAACCTAACCTAACCTAACCTACCTAACCTAACCTAACCTAACTAACCTAACCTAACCGAACTTACCTTACCATACCTATAACCTAACCTAACCTAACTGAGAATAGACCAGAACCTAAGCTAAGCTAAGCCAACCTAACTGAGAATAGACCAGAACCTAACCTAACCAAGAATATACCAGAACCTAAGCTAAGCTGAGCTAAGCTAAGCTAAGCTAAGCTAAGCTAAGCTAAGCTAAGCTAAGCTAAGCTAAGCTAAGCTAACCTAACCTAACCTAACCTAACCTAACTAACCTAACCTAACCTAACCTAACCTAACCTAACCTCCCCACCCTATGTCTCCTTCAACCCGCATCCCATTGGCATTCATGTTTCATGCCATATATAGGTACCATATAGTGAGCTTTATTTAGCTGCCATGTTCTCATTTTACTTTACATTCCCCACCCAATCCCCCTGCAGCCCATCCTCCCCTTGGCATCAAAGATCAAATTTCATGGATTCTTGTTGCCTGGGCACCCTACATTTTTATGGTTCTTCATGCTGCTTGATGCACAGTAATGTTGTGACCGCGCACAGTAATGGTGCCGGTGTCACGACTGCTGTGTGTGTGCAGCGCTCGGGAGCTCGCCATCGTAATTATGAAAAATTGGAAGGTAAGAGCATGAACCTACCTGTTTTGTGATTATTTAATATATGTCCTGCCTTAAACATGACAAATGGTGTGCATAATTTTTTCTCACGTTAGGTAGGAAAGTACACCCCTGACCCAACTGCAACACTCACCTTTCTGAATTCCTTGTAAAATGCCTTTGCAGATGGATCAGTCGAACTGTTAGCTTGAGCCATACTTTCATATTCCTCATTTTTTGTTTGCACTGCTGAAACCAGGTCATTAAGGGAATTTGAGGTGGATGACCCATCCTTGGCCCTTCTTTGCGCTTTGAACTCCTCTCGCTTTTTCTCACGCAGTTGCTGGATGCGTTGCTTTTCAGCTTGTGCTTCCTCAATTACCTTCTCCTTAAATGGTGCTAAATTGGGCACTCCTGGATCCTTCTTTTTCTTTCCCTTCTTGGGATTCTTTTTGGCCTCTTTTTTCAACTTTCTTGCATGCTCTTTAACTTTTTTTGCTATCTTGTACTTCATATTGCATGAAAGTCGTTTACTCTTCTTTTTTGAAAACTTGTTGGTCACCATCTTGGCAAATAGATGCGATAAAAGTCGTTTTAAGGAGACGCCGTAAGCCTACTCGAACTCACACCCTCACCAGACTGCACACGCCATCAAAGGACGGATTCAACATATCACGCGAATAGCATCATTACCGACACGTTTATTTGTCACAGCAGCGTCAAGATGCACGCCAAATACGGCATGCTGGTCGTGGAAGAATCTCGCACTAAATTCCAAATACGTTACAAATTCGTTACACCAGTATGCCCTTTGACAACATAAAAACACATAATGAAAATGGGAGAGTATAGGTCGAAATCCTGAAGAAAACTGGCTTTTGCAGCTGCGGATCCGTGAAATCTCAAGAGGAAAAATGATGCGACCACGTAATTGCTGATGAAAATCAGCGTGACATGTTTCACATCTACCAGACCGCCACATCGGTTTTGCTGGCGTCAAATACATTCAAGTCTGATGGCGAGCCACAAAATTACAGAAGTGATGTTGCATAACCAGGTTTTTTGACTGAGACAAGATTGTGAGTAGGGTGGAGGGGACGCAAAAAGCATGCGGGATAAAGAAACTCTAGTTTATCCGTAATTTTGTCTGTCAATGAGCAGTACAAAATATGTCGAAGAAGTCCTCAGATTCGGTGGGCTTCGTTATTTTAGGTGCAGGCAAGTTGTTACGCTCGTCTCCCCCCCCCCTTCTTCCTCATCCCTTTGACAACGTTTACGACTTTCAGGTAAAGTTTTGCAAATATTCCAATCAAAACCCAGCAAGATATGTTTGGCTGCCGCTCGCATGTATGTTCCATTTGCAACGCCAAAACGGTGTTTGTACTTCCAAACGCAACTCAATATGTTAGATACCTTGCCACCTTCCCGTTTGCATAATTTTGTAAGTGTAGGAAGCGCAGACTGGGGAACAATGATCTATGGCATTTTGTCTTTATGACATTTTGTCAATGGCATTCACCCTATGGATCAACTTTATCCATCTCGATAGCTCAGTTGGGTAGAGCGCCTGGCTTCCGGTCCACCCACCCGGGGTGCGATGGGTTGGAGGCGCTTTGGGGCGCTCATTATTTGCACTTGACATGAATACCCTGCAGCCGGTGCCAGTAGGCTACGACCTCAAAACGGTTTTCGTCCTTCACTTCCTGGGACGTTCCGACAGTGGAGACGTCGACAAAGTCCAATCCATGTAGGGCGTACGAATGCTCGTGACGAAGACACATTCATGGTCGGTCAACCAGGATGCAAGCCCGTTGCTTTGGCAATCAAAATAATGAAACCAGGGGCTCCTTCATGCCATCAAGGGTATCGCAAGGTTCCATAGGGGTATGAGGAAGACGGCCTTGTAATCCCCATCGGGCAACGATGAACCTGCCTGTGCGGTGTAAGCAGGTCACCCTAGCAGAGTCCGGGACAGCCTCCCTCTCGGCTCTCCCTTCCTTTTATTGTCTGGTATGCATCTTTCTGGACGAAATTGACGAATTCCCCGTTGTCTCCGACCTCTCTAATTTTGTATTGCGTGATAGCCTGGTCGAAATCTGATCTCGTCTCTTTTGCGAACGAAAACTGCGAAAAAGCCAATCCACGCTTTCGTCCAAACTCTTACCGTGACGCTGCAAGTGATGCCTTCGGGGAATTTCACTTCCAGTCGCTGGCCAGCATGGTATGCAAGAATTCGCTGTGCAGGCGGCCCTGCGGACCCAAAAGATACTCAAGTACGACAAAAAGGCACTGATCTTGCACGAAAATTGGTCTAGCGCTTCCATACATCACAAGCTGGTGCTGAGGGTTTAATCTCATCTCATTACTTTATTTTTATTAGTTGCATGTGACGGGACCACAGGGGCCTGTATGGACAACTGGCTGTGCTTTTACCGTTGTAATACATTCCAGAACCCACCTCATGTTAATGTGCTCAAGTGACTAAAGAGTTAAAAGTCAAATCTGTAATGCAACGTGCTCCTTAAAGAAGTTATGACTCACGTTCTGTGCGTATCCTGTGCGAAGACTGGGCAGGGAGTTAAAAGCCATATCCGTCCTGACACCTGTTCCCTTAAAAATTTAGTCCACGCGTACGTCGTTTCCATGGCTGGCAAACACTAGGCATCACATTGAAAGTGATGTTCGTCCTGACACATGTTCCATTAAAGATGTAGCCCTCGCGTACTGTGCGTACCCTAAGCAAACACTTCGTGCTGAAAGGCGGTTGACTGTGCACCTCCTCCGCGGTCCACGCCGGCAGCGTCATTTTCGGCGCTTCTGGACGGCTGTTTGGCTCACGCTGCGGCCGTCCCAGCCAGGCCGGCCGGTCGTTTCCATGGCTGCCGATCAACAGAGCCCTATTATGTCGATTCGTCGTAACGCGGCGCACCTCTGGCGCCCCGGTCAACGGGCAGTGTGTGACCCGACCTGAGACTGACCTGTCGCGCCCGGGCCTGTGGTGACCCCACGTGCCGGTATCGATGTGAGCTGCTCCCACGTCAAGGTCACTAGCTACCCGCTGTGACCTTGGCAAGGTCGGTGGTGACAAGTTCGTTGGGCAGGTGAGATGACCTTGGGGACGCTTGTGGGAAGAGGTCGAAATGCTTGGTTGGAATACAATCGTTGTAGACAATTATGTTCAGCATCAATAGCGTTTGGTAGTTCGAAGAACGTCAATCACTTAGCAAGTTCGGCAAAACTCAACATTGTTGCTAACAAAAAGAAGAAAAGTAACTCCGCATTTCAAGGGGCATTGTTTTATAACAGAAACCTTCGCTGATTTTATCGTTTTTAGAAGGCGATTATTGCGTTTTCAGAACATAGCGTACCAACTACTTGAACCGTAAAAGACGATTTTTTACTGAAAAGTGTGATTTTAAAACTTTGCTCCGCCGCCCGGCGCCGTAATGTCACGTTCAAGCGAAGAGCTGCCGTCATGTTGGTATCAATGCAGTGGGCCATGCCGACCCTCCATCCGGCCCCACGTTAAAACCTTCACAGTTTTGAAGAAATATTGCAGCGAAAGGCTGTCTAGTTGAAAGAAACTGCGTGAAGAAGAAAGACAAAAGACACGGGGTGTCGAGGCGAGATGTCTTCCATGTTATATTGCTTCAAAACATGTTTTTAACAAGCCGAGGTCTTCTTGTACCGCATGACTTTTTGCTGTATTACGCAAAGTCGATGGGACAGAGCTCGACTCATATGGTTCTGCGTGTCGGACGCAGCGATCGGCAGATTGGCCGTGCAATGTGGTTCCTGGTCATCGCTACTGCTATTGCCCCGGTTATAGTTCTCGTAACTTTCGCCGCATGGATACATGCAAATACTGTGCACGGTGGACTCATTGTGGGCATGTATGTGGTCCATTTGGAAAACCCTGTATGATTCCGCGACCCTGGCTGAGCCAGCGGGGGCTGAGTCTCTACGCTTATGTCCGGGTGAATCGTAATCGATGCCTTTTTGCACTTCACTGCGGCTCGCACGTCGCCACCGTAACATTGCACGTTTGCAGATGTGTTGTGCCTTGATATAGGTATTGGAAAAGGTACAACTACTTCAGTTCGACGATCAATCGTATTAATACTTTAAATTAACTGCGTCGGTGTGGTCTTCTACCCCTGAGGTGGGTTCAAGGAGAAGAGATGAAAACTTCTTTTTTAGTTTCGAAATGACTGGACAAACACGCGGGCCGTACCAACCGCCCAGCTCACCACCACTTAATTGCGTACTTGACGCATCTTCCCTTGGCGACAATCGCGAATAAGACATCTAGGGTCAGGTATTTATTCCAGCCTTGTTAAACTCTGCATGCTATCTCATCCATCCGATGGCATCGTTTAGCGATTATAATCGGTTCGTCGACAAAGAACTATGAGTCTCTGTATCACTTTTGAGGACCAACAGAAGATCTCAGAGCTAGGAACAAGCACTGTAAGAAGATTCGGAAATGGGGCGACTATATTGAAGGCATTGCGTGCCAACGGTGGCGGCGCACGGCGCTCGCCTCGATAACCAAGTATAGCCATCGATGACGTCAGAATATTTTCACTGACAATTTCGTCCACCGCCGAACAGCACGACACGACCGCTGACGACAAGCCGACCAATCAACGGGGATTTATTTATTCGCTTTATTATTCATAAACGCCATATCCCTCCGGGACTAATAAGTATTCATGTTCATCCATACTGCTGGCCAAGGGGCGTTCTGGACCCGAGCACGCTTCTGAGAATATGTTGTTCCATTTTGGCTTCACCATATGCGGCAACATGGAGGCCAATGGAACCCAGACCCCGTGGTGAGTTATTACAAACCCTACCCTACTGGCCAGACCGCCGCGATGGGGCGAAACCGCCGTGATGGGGCCAGAACGCCGCGATGGGGCCAGATCGCCGCGATGGGGCCAGATCGCCGCGATGGGGTCAGAACTCCGCGATGGGGCCAGACCGCCGCGATGGGGCCTGACCGCCGCGATGGGGCCAGATCGCCGCGACGGGGCCGGACCGCCGCGATGGGGTCAGAACTCCGCGATGGGGCCAGACCGCCGCGATGGGGCCTGACCGCCGCGATGGGGCCAGAACGCCGCGGCGGGACCGCCGCGTACGACATAGGAGGCATTCAGGTGACAGTGACAGTGACGAAGCTGTGATCGGGACGGACGGAGGCCGTCGGGGGTTAACAAGTCGAGGTCAGTAGTCGCCTCATCGGGGATGTATGTACACGTGCTGTATGTGTCCCGGTTGTATGGCACAGAGACAGCCACGCTCCGTGACAGAGAAACAGCGGGCATCGTCACCAGCCGTGACGTTGGGATGCACCAGGCGCTGCTGTCCGTTTTCAACTCAATGGAGGTGGGAGATCACAACCTATATTATATTCTAAGGTTACGACCATCATCATCACGACAATCACCATCACCGTTGCTAGGCACGGGCGTGTCGTGAAATGATGAAGCATGTGCTTCTAAAGACAAAGGAGCACACTCAGGTACACGGCGCTCGCGCTGAAGCGGAACAAACCAGCTGAGGCGGGGGGGGGGGAGGGGGGAGGGGAGCATGGATCAGCCGCTGAAGCTCATTTTCATACCAGTACAATGGATTGATGAATATGATTAGCCAATGAC